ATGCGGGTATCACGTCCTCTTAACAAAACTTTCAAAAGACATGCAAAGCCAATATTCCCATGTAACTCTTTATATATTTTGATCTTAATGTATCGCTCTTGATGTAACCGATTAATTAATAACTGTGAAATTGTATTATTAGAGCTATTAAAATTAAAAAATTWAATTATTTTAAAAATATTATGAACATTTTTAGTGGCTCTTTAAAGTCARAAAAATGTTRTATATTGTAACTTTTGGCTCTTCCGTTAAAAATGGTTGCCGACCACTGGTTTAAGCCAATATTAAGAGGACATTATACCCGCATGTGTTATTTCCKTCTTACAGGTGTGTAACATGGCAAATTTTAAGCTCAGCAGATCACGTTTAGCTCCACAAGTTTAAAATTTAGAGTAAGTTAACCTCTTATAAAAATTAAAGGCAACATTTTATAATGGACGGCTACTCATAGGCTTTTTATTATATTTTAATTTTAAAGCGAGTTATAAGTATTTTAAGATGTACAAACAATTTACAATTTTAAAATACTCATAACTCACTTATTATAAAATWATTTATTAAGTTCTTAAAATTATTAAATGCAACACAAACCATATTATGATACAAAGATACAACCACATTATATTTCATCATAAATTTCATTAGATTTAAAAAAATCTATTAATAAAAGGCTATTTTACTTTGAAATCCAACAAATTTAATAATATTTGCCATTTGAAGTCGCTCAATTTATTTACTATTTAATAAATATAGGTAAGTATATAATTTTGATAGTTAAGAAAATGTATATGTATCTAAACTCTAAAGTCTAAATTGTGTTATTTTTGAGTTTTTATATAAACTGCTTGTAAACTATTCATGAACAAAAGATTAAATGAACAATCTAATGAACACGTTTATCGGTTTAACTTATCAAAGAACATGAACGTGAATGCGTTCGTTTGAAAAAAACATGAACGYGAACATGAACAAATTCTTTTTTTAGGGAACGTTCCGAACAATGAATAATTTCAAGTCATTTTTTATAAAATATTTTTATCAAAGAGATATAAAATATACTGTTATTTGAGAATGATCAATAATAAATTATTTGACTGCAATGTGTTTAAAAAACAAATTAATACTATAAAAATGTGATCTAAAAGACTAAAAGTGAAGTTCTATATTTAGCACTGAAGTAAAACGTAAACTTTTAGATCGTATAAAAAAAAATTCCCCTCCTTTCTACAAATATATTTAACAAACCTTTGGTGTGACAACTAAATACTGATTGTTCCTGTCTTCAAATAACTCCATAAACAATTCCATCAATTTCTTTTCATAAACTTTATCCATGCCCTATAATATAAGATCATTGTATGTTATTAAATAATCATTTTATATCTTAGAAATTTTATTTTTAAAAACCTACAAACCTGATTTATTTCATCTACAATTCTAAACGGAAAATGTGTAACTTCTTGAAGGCATAACAAAAATAGTGCTGTTGTCAGTGCACGTTCACCACCACTTTGGCTTTTGGCATCTAATAGCCTCAACGAAGGAGTGTCATCACGAAATTGCACCTTTATCAATAGACCATATGCTTGGAAATCATACTAAAAACCAAAATTTGGATTTAAATCATAAATTATTATTATTTCCAATAAGAATAACAGGCACAGAATTATTTACCCTTGTTACGCCAATGTCTAATTCAATTATGCCACTGCAACCAAATGATTTGAGAAATTTCTGGAAATTAACACTCAACATAATAGTAAGTTCTTGAATTTTTGACAACCATTCAGAGTGTAATCTTTCAATTTCCTGTTCTTTGGTTTGAGCATTAAGATTTAAACTTTCCAATTTTTTTTCTAAATTCTTTATTTTTGTCTTGCGTTCCTTGTATTCTTTTATTAACTATAATATAATCAACAGAAAATATAACTGATGTATTTTATTATTCAAATTAATTAATTTTTAGTTAATGTTTGTTCTCATTTTACCTGAGGAGCATTTGGATCAATATTTAGACAATTTAGTTTGGCTTTTTTCTCAACAATTAATTCATCTAAATCATCAACATCACTCTGTTCAATAGCRTTAAACTTTTCAAGCAAGGGTTGAAATAAAGTTTTATCATAAGGAGACACTCCATTAGTCCAATGTATAGCTACATCTAGCATTTTCTTGAATTCTGATTCCAACTTTTGAATGTACTTCAGGTAATCGCTGAAATTGCTCTAGGAATAAAACATTATGTAAATCATGAAATAAATTCAAACAAACAATTCAAATCCACAAAAATTTTTACCAAGCTTGTTACATAGAGAGTCTTTAATTGGCTCAACACTTTGTTTTCATCTCGCATGTCAACACCACAATTGCTAACAACAAAGGCAGAACCTATCAGATGCTTCATACTAGTTGAATAACTATCCAGCATTGTAACCACTCCATTCATTGATTCAAAGTACTTATTGATAAGTTGCTAACAATACAAATATACAATAATAATTTGATAAAAAACAAGTGAATGATTAATATTTAATAATTAATAATAAACAAACCGAATTTTGGCTTAACAATTTAGAAGTTCTTTCTTTTTCCGTTTTAAGTTCACTCTGTTTAAATTCCATATCTTTAACCATTTTATCATGAGCTTGTTGCCTGTTTTGAAATTTCATAAAACTTCCTTGTATTTCTTTTTTCCTTGCAAAAAAAGGCTGACGACTATCTTCAGCATTTCTAAGCTGATTAATCAATTCAGTTTGTTGATGTTCAAAATGTTCACAATTTATTCTAGCATCTTCTTTCCTGTAATCAACCAGATTAAAATATAAAATTTAAAACAAATTGATTGATTAAAATAAAATTTTCAATAAATATGCGAAACAAATTTAGAACAGTAACTACCAGTAACTACAGTTATTACTAGTAATTACCTATAATTTACAACTTTAAAAATGTATATATATATATTTTTTCAAATTATCTTTCAACATAAAATAATAATATACAACAAAATAAAAGTATTATCCTATTTTTAAGAAAAAAAGTTTATTAATATTCATTTGTTATGTATAAAAAATTAAAATATTTTTGCCAAATGATAAATTTTAAATAAAAAGTAAAAACTATTTGAATTGCAAAATAAAACATTAATTATWATACAAAAAATCCTTGTTTAAAACTTGTTAAAAAAGGCCAGAAATCACAAAAATTAATACTTTATACAACCAAACATGATAAACAAAAATTGGATAAATGTTTAGATTCATAAGTAAGTTTCAGATTTGAAGGTACTAGCCTTTCTTATCACGATAGAAAAATAATTTTTACATAGAAAATGTGTATCATTTAATTTCTAACACGCTGGATGTATTTTTTTTACCTTTTTTTACTTATAAATGCCTTTTAGTTTTTTTTATGTTTAATTTTCAGTCGGTTTAATGATTTTATACATAGCTTACGTATTTTCGGTACAAATGGGTTTTATTCTTTGCAATATTTATCGATATCGCTGAATACTCTATCCGTAATCTGGTCAGTTCTTTAGTATTTGGGCATAAAATTGCCCATACTACCATTTAAAGATTAAGATATGTTCATAATGAGAAAATTCAAGATTTTTCGCATTTGTCACATTTATTTTACTCTGTTTTTTTTAATTATGCCGAAAGTCAAACAAAATCATAATTTTAAAACAAGATTGCAATTGAATAGTGACATTTTTAGATCTTTTTTATCAGAATATTGAAACAAAAATATTCCATGCGAATCAACATTACAGAAAAGATACTTTGATAAATGCTACGAAGCAGTTTTGTCAAAAATTTGTGATGCTGTAGGTGAACATAAAATATGAGTGTGTACTGACAAAACCAAAGATTCAGGATGCTGAAACGTAGCTAATGTAATAGTTAGAATTTTACAACCAGAAAGTCCGGGAAATTTGTATCTTCCTCACACAGACTATTGAGATAAGGTAAATAGTAGTACAATTATGCAGCTATTTGATAAAACAATGCATATATTGTGGCCAACTAATGTAAAATACCACAATATTTTGCTTTTTATATCCTTTTTTGAAGAAAACTGGATGTTCATTTCAAACTTTATACCTGAATATTATTCATTTAACTTGTTTGGCTCAAGCATGTCATAACGGCTGTGAAGAAGTACGAACATATTATAAAAATGTAGAACAGTTAATTTTTGAAATAAAAAAGACATTTTTAAAATGTCTGAAGAGAATTGCAGTTCTGAAAGAAAAATATCTAGAACTGCCAAGACCGATAATTTACACATTAGGATATGTGATTTAATGCAGTAAAATACTATATTTCAAATTTCAATGAACTGAAATCTACAATTGAAGAATTCGAAGAAATCTGATTGAGCGAACGTAGCTAAAAGACTTTTTTAAATTCCATCAATACAAAGTAATCTGGTATATATTGTATCTWATTTTGGACTTTAGCCTGACATAATATAACAAAACTTAAAACACGAAGTAACAAATATTATTTTTATGTGTTTTACATGTTATTTATATTAAATTTTACTGTATATGTTTTAGGTGTATTACAATCAAAAAATGTAGAAATTGTAAAAATTTACAGATTAAGCTCGAAGAATGTAATGGCGAACCGCTGAATTGATTTGGATAAATTCTACAAAGTTATATCAAAGAACAAAGGATGGGAAAATATCAACAAAAAAAGCGGGTAAGTGGGTATCGCTCTGCTGTACATTAGGGGGTGAGATGGACCTCTGACTAGGGTAGGTTAAATTTGAATGCAATGATAGGTATCATTGTATACAAAAAACGATTCTGAACATAGACGGTTTATCTATCTAGGATATATTATAGATTATTAAAAAATTTCAAATCTTAGATTTAAAAAAAAATTTTTTTATAAATTTCTAGCTTAAAATAATTTGCGAATTTACATGATTTTTACATATGTTATCAAAATTCAAACTTTGAATGCTTGTAAAAAAAATTGTGATTATGCATTTCTTTTATTTTTCAACTGCTATTGTAAAAATGTGTTAGGAGCCTTGTACTAAATTTTCAAGCTTTTCCACTTTTGACCCCCCAAAGTATCAACTAGATTCACTTTCTGATCGAACGAGGTACTAAAGTCAAAAATCAAAGCACTTTTTACTGCCCCAAAACGTGATGACACACAAAAAAAAAGAAATTAATAAATAAAAACACACATCATGGTAAAATCAATACATTCATCGCTCCAATCAGAATCTAAAAATCGACAAAATATTGATTGGAGAAACAACAAGCGATAATTTAACAAGTAGTAATCTTAATTTAGATAATTATTTATGTATGAAATACGCCCAAATAACTTTGGTGGACGTAGAAAGATCCTTTTTTATAGATAAAACTATTTTGAACTCAAACCGTCAACGTTTTACTGAAGACAACTTATCTAAGTACATGGTAGTGAATTTAAATACAAACTAGTTAGTATATTTAATTTTTTAGTATACTTTTGAATTGTTTTTTTATTTAAAATAATGCCTTTTTGCATTTTAAAAGCTTTTTTTATTAATTATATTGTCTTTAAATCCAAACCCTATTTTTATACAGTAATCTCTCGTTATCCGCGGATTTTTAATCAGCGGTTTTGATTATCCGCGGTTGGGTCGGCGATAACATTTTATTAATACATACGATGAAATTGTATCTTTATTATACCCATACTTATAACAGATAAACTACATAAAGTACATACCTTAATGTGTACAGTTAATTTGTTATATCTTAAAATTGTTCAGTTAACAAACATGAATTACAAATTTTTTTCATCCTTCCTAATATATTATGTATGTATAAAYAATTAATAAATTATATTAAAAAAATAAATAATCAAATAATTGTAGAAAATATTAACCTTTTTGTGATTTTTAAAATTAAATACAAAATAATAAAAATTAAAAATTGTATGTAAATAAAACCTAACTTCCCGTTTTACATTGCTTTATGGTCTCGTTATCCGCGCAACTTTGCTAGAACCTAACTTCCACAGATAACGAAGGATTACTGTATTATTAACATTTTACTATTTCATTTATATTTTTCTTATTAACACATTTTAACTAAAAAAGTTGTACTATCTAGGTCATTACAAAAATAAATGAAAAAGCAATCAAATTCTGAGATTTACTCAAAAGATATATAGTAACAATTTACTTGGTTTTCAGAGATTGAATCAAATTTGAGTCCACAGAAAACAGCAAAAATCGTGCATCAGTTGATATTTGTGATTGTCGTGTGATTTTTTCTCCAGTATAGTTAGAAGTTCTTATACTAACTTGATCATTATCTGTATATAAAATAAAATCACATAAAATATAAAATCCCAATAAACACTCTCGATTTAAACTTTGTTGAATTACCTGCAAAAAAGAACCCAATATTACTGGGTAAATTCTGCATATTATTAAGAACTTCCTTAGAACCAATAGGTATATTATGCATGTCATAACTTCTAGCTAGATATCTCCTTATGACAGAAGGAGCTTTTATCATGTCTAATGCATAAGAATGGAATCCAAATTGTCTGTTTAAAAATAAAAAATACAGGTAACTTTAGTTTGCAAACAAATAAATCATAAAACCGAAAAGTTTGATTTAATAATAAAATACATCTTTTATACTACTTTGATACTGTTACATAAGAAAAAAAAATGTGGTAATAAAGAAATTCGGATAAATAGAACTATATAAATTTGGTTCTCAAAAATATTTCATTAAATAGACAATGTTGTTAAATGAAAGTAAAATAAAATAACCGTTAGGGTGCATAATATTTTCATATAGTTGATGAATATCATTTAATATATTATACCTATGTTTAAAGCATTGAAAACACTATTTTAGTATGCACATTTAATTTATAACCATCAGAATTTTATTAAGCATTTTCATTACTTACTTTAAGCTGTTTATATCATAATTTGGTGTCTCGTTAACTTTAAAATTGGCAGGGGGAGCTGAGATTGAATTAATTTTTTTCCAACGCTCTTGTTTAACTATTTTATTAAATGTAGTCAGATCTTCTGCATACTCAAAAACAAATGCAATCATATCACGATAATTAACAATGTTTTCTATGTACTTGGCATTCTTTTGGTCACGAACTTCAATCTATAATTTTTAATAATTGTACAAACATAAAATATTATAATTTTAAAACTATATAAATAAAAAATCAGGGATAGATTTAGGTGAGGGCTGAGTGGGCTGCAGCTCAATATCCCCCACAAATTCGGGGTTTCCACAATTTTATGATATTTAAAATATTTACACATATTTAATTAAATAATATTGAACTTTATTTGGAAATTTAACAAATTCAATATTAATAACTAATAATAGATGTATTCGTGTTTATTGACAATGAACAATGTCTAAGAATCTAGATAAGATAGGTTTTATGACGTCTGTGATCAATGTGCACTGTAGATTGTAATTATGTTAGCAAATGTGTTTCTAAATAATATACACATGTGGATCTGGAATTATGCGACAAAATGTCATACTAAACATGATGGTTAAAGACAATAATTTACAGTCAGAATTATGAGATTAATTTTCGGAAATATCATAAAATACACATTAGAGACTACTATCTGTCTATCGCTATAGGTAAATTATCTTTATTTGTTCATTGCACTTATTGCAAGTCAGGCGTTTGTTAATATAAGTTGTGTATACCTACAATAGTTACAGACTCTAGTAATCTAGTTGTTTCTTATATTATAAGTTATTAACCAGTGAATAATGTTATTATTTAAAAATAGAAGATCAACATAAATTAAAGCAATTTTATATGAGTGGTACAGATACGTAAATTGGCAAAAAAAATACGGAAATAATTTAAAAAACTGGGTGAATGACAAAGTTTTTCATAACACAGCCTAACACAGCATCTTTTTCTAAGGTTAGTGAAAAATTTAACAATTGCAAATTGTTATGAAGAATTATTTATACAAAAATCAAAACAACAGTTTGATGTGAAATTTACTCGTAAATGTAATAAATCATTGTTAGAGCGAAAAACTGCTAACGAAGGAATGGTGAAGTGTTCATGGTTATGTTATTCACCATTCAATGGTACTATTTTTTATTTTGTAAGTAAATTAATGTCCAAAACACACGGTCAATTTATTCATGGGTGTTTCTGTGACAGGAAACATGCAGATAATCGATTAATAAGTCATGAAACTTCCAAAGGTCATTTAAATTCTGTGATAAATTTAGTAGTTTGTTCAAAATAATTAGGACATATTGACAATGAACTTGTCAAACAAAGTAAAGAGATAAAGAGTAACTGGTGTAATATAATCAAGAGACTCATAAGTGTTATAACATTTATATGTGAAAAAATTATGYAGTAGAAATTAAATTGTCAGTTCGCCTAAAAATGGCAACTATCTTGGAATTCTAAAGCTGTTAGCTGAGTATGATAATTTTCTTAAACAACATTAAAAATCACGCAAATTGTGGAAGTGGGCACACTTACTATTTTATCTTCCACTATCTGTGAAGAATTAATAGAAATAATGAAAAATAATGTTTTGAATTAAATAATTTCTCATATAAAACTATCTAAATATTTTTCAATTTCATTAGATCCGACACCTGATGAAGCTGGTTTTACAGATCAATTACGATAGTTTTTAGATATATTGAAAGAGATACACTAGTGAAAAGATTTTTAGTATCTATGCCAAACCAAAGCCATAAAGCTCAAGATATGCATGATGGTTTAATAAACTTTTAAAATAAATATGGCTTAAACATAAAAAACTGTAGAAGCAAAGTGTATGATAATGCTTCTGCAATAAGTGGGAAATATAATGGTCTCCAATCAAAAATTCTAGAAAATAATAAACTAGCTTCCTGGATTCCATGTGCAACACATTCATTAAATTTGGTAGGTAAAGCAGCAGCCGAGTGTTGTGTTGCTGTTGTTAAATTTTTTAATTTTTTAGAGCAGTTATATGTATTTTTTATGGCATCAACAAAACATTATGAACTACTGGTTATAGCTTTAAATTTAGAAAATACCAAAACCTGTACCCATGTACCAAAACGAGTTAGGTTTTTAGGTAGTGGTCGTACTACACACTGGTCATGTCCATCTGATGCAACAAAAGCTCTTATGCTAGGCTATAATCAATTTAAAACTACTTGAAATAGCTGATGACTCTGAACAAACAACAAAAACACATTGCTATGCAAATTGTTTATACAACAAATTATGCACACTTAAAACTAGAATATACACGGTTCTTTGGAATAATATCCTTGAAAGGGTAGATAGCACAAATAAATTACTGCAAGATCCGACTTTAGACCTTAACACAGCAATTTCCATTATTAAGTCTTTATAGAATTTTGTTCAAGCTAAATGTGATAACTTAGATCAAACTGAAAAACGAGAATCAGACATTAACACGTTGACTGCCATGAGGCTACCGGCGTCCGTATAATAATAATTAGGTATTGATAATTTTTAGACCGCCGGCTGCCGCTCCATATCATTTGTAGGAGGCCATACGGCCACAGGCTGCCATAAATTAATTTGGATTTATACAGGGTGCGGCAGAGCCGACTGACGAGTTTTGAAGGGTTATAACAAACGAACAGTAAAACTTAGAGAAAAAAACTTTTTTTTATTAAATAAGTATTGAATCCCATTTTTAAAAATTATTGTTTRAAAATTATAYCTYRAAGATGGCRGCYGTCAGCATCAATACACTGTTGTAGACGATCTCTGAAGCTCTCATATGATTTTATGTTGTGATGTTGGGAACTTATCTACAGCATAGGTTGAAGGAAATGGCTGAAGACCATGATTGGTTGGTTACATGATTGGTCAATGTATGGTTTCAACAAGACGGGGCTACAGCACACACAGCTCGAATTTCACTTGGTGTCTTGCAACAAATGTTCCCTGGGCGGTTAGTCTCTCTAAGAGCAGACATAGGCTGGCCAGCACGGCCTTCAGATTTAAGCATGTGTGATTTTTTCCTCTGGGGCTACTAAGGATAAGGTTTTCAGACATCGCCCACATACCATAGAAGACCTTAAATAGAAAATCACAGAGGAAATCGAAGCCATACCAGTCGAAACGTGCCGAAAATCATATGAGAGCTTCAGAGATCGTCTACAACAGTGTATTGATGCTGACAGCTGCCATCTTTGAGGTATAATTTTCAAACAATAATTTTTAAAAATGGGATTCAATACTTATTTTAATAAAAAAAAGTTTTTTTCTCTAAGTTTTACTGTTCGTTTTTTATAACCCTTCAAAACTCGTCAGTCGACTCTGCCGCACCCTGTATTATTAACTTTTCCATTGCACTACAATAATGGTCTTGAAAATATGCTGTGGCGTAGTGGGAATGATTGAAATTTTTTGATATAATAAACATAATTTTAACATTTTTTTTTTTGTATTTTTAATTTTTTTTCAAATTCAATATATTATATTATACATTGTATATATTATACAAAAACAAATTTATAATAACACTGAAAAATGTCTTTAGCGTACCCATGATAAATATTCTTGAGGCCGCCTGCGGCTGCATGGCAGTCAATGTGTTAAGGAAACAACAGATTATTTGAAACATCGTAAACAGCAAAGGAATATTTGTTTAAACCCAATAGATTCTTATGAAACACCCAGGGTAGATTTAAATTTTCTCAAAAATTCAAAATTCAAATTTTTTTCCCTGTAATTGATATGTTTAATTCTAACTTGGATAAACGATTATCTGCTTATGAATTGGTATATCAAAGATTTAGCTTTCTTCGAAAAATAGAACTAAGTAATCAAGAAATTGAAAATGAAGCAATTAAACTTGTTAAAATTTACCAAGATGAACACTTTGGAAATGAACTTATTCAATTTAAAATATTGTATAAACATTTTGATGAAAGCAGTAAATTTCTAAGTAGGTGGCTTGGTGAGGCGCAGTTGTACGCTCAATCTGCTGAAACGCACTGAGCGTACGTACCGGCCACAGTTGTTAATAATAAATGTTAATTAATAAATTTTTTTATTATTCTTTATTTAATTACTTACACCTAATATTATGATGATATTACTCATACAAGTTATACTCGATTTGATTGTTTTTATAATTATTTATTATTAAATAAGTAGTTAATTGATAATACTACTAAATATGATAATAAATGTTATTTAATAAGTAAAAAAATGTATTTTCTTGTTTATGTGTAAGGGGCCCCCACAATGCATTCCGCCATATACCTAAATCCGCCCCAGTAAAAAATCGTTGTTTAATTTGAAATACCTGAGTGAATAATGGTTCAAATACTTGTCCTTGAAAAATTGATGACTTATCACAGTTTCTTAGCCATTTTATTGCTTTCCACATTTCAGGAAACTGTCTCTGCAGTAATTGATTTTTACCATCCTCTTTTCTTTTTTCACGTTCAAGTTCTTGATCGATAGCTTAATGTAAAATACAAATAACTCAATAAAAATTGAATAAAGTAAATACCTACTATATGAAACTAAAACATCATCTTATTTTTTTTAAAAAAGCATAAAAAATACTAACCATACATTTTTTCGGTTAGACCTCTCAGTTTGTTTTTGATACTCTCTAAATTATTTCTCAMAGGGTAAATATTATCATCAATATTTTTGATATTTCTATTAATTTCATTAAGTTCCAGTTTACACTCTGTACAAGATATAATTTACACATTTTAATATAAATAACATAAAATATTCAAGATTTTTATTTTACCTTCAACATTTAATGTTTCATTTTTTATACTCTGCAACTTCTCTTCCATAGATGATATGGACTCTGTCAGGTCTTCAATTCTTATTGAATTTTTTTTAATGGTTTTTTTCAATTCATTMATATCAGATACATGGCATTTAGAAGCTCCAACTAGATTATTAAGTTTTTCAATTAACTTACTTACTGCATTTGCCTAAATCAAATATACATTTATTTMTATAGATCATACAAAAAATTATTAAAATATATTTAATTATTTACATTCTGAAGAACCACATTTTTCAGATTAATTTCTCCTGATTGTTTTCTTTTTATTTTATCTTTTTGCTGGTTTATAAGACTTAAGGCATCCTTATTATATATTTTGGACTCTTCAAATTTTTTTCTTTCCTATAAAAAATAGTATGAGGATTAATATAATAAACAAGCTATTCACTTTTAATAATAATATTGGTTTATATCATTAAAAAATAATATGATTCATACTTTATGAATTTTAGTACATTAAATAAAATATTTTAATATATTGATGAATCTAGCAATGTTAACATTTAGAAATCCTTCTCAAGTCTATTATTTTATAAATTATTCATTTAAGTATAAAAATGCTGAGCGGTTACTAAATAGTAATAATTATAATGGTGTATATAATATATTAAAATATTTATCATATTCACAATAAAATGAGTATTGCCCATTGATAATTTTGTATATTAAAATTAAGTACTTCCGAGTTTTTTTTTAATGGTAAATTATGTCCTAGAAAAAAATAATATTATACATTATGTCTTTTTTTATAATGTTTGGGAAAAAATTCAGTTTGCGGGATTCAACATATTTAGAGAAATTAATCACTATTTGAGTTCTATTATGAGTTTTTAATAGCTGTATAAATAGTTAAAATTATATTTTATAATAACAACAAAATTCTTGCTGTGAGTGAGTGGTGCGCGCTAGCATCATTATTCATCACTATATGCTGTATTTTAGACATATAAAACACTCAGCTTGTGGATTATTTAAAAATGGCTATGGCACATATATTAATGAAAAATAAATAATAAAAATAAATATTTAAAAAAATGTATTAAATGTTTTTTTTAAATATATTTTTATGGCTCGCATAGTTAACTATTCAATACATTTAGCCTAGTTAATACTTAAAATTTGACATGCCTTCTGAATGTATACCATAAATAAACAATAAATACATACATTAGAAATTTGTTTCCAAGCCAACATGTATAAGGACCAACATCTCTTCTGTAACACAACCAATAATTGTTCTTCCAATGATTTTTTTTCTGTAAATGAACTGACAATTGTTTCGAGTCTATAAATGAAAAATTTTAAGAAGATGTTAATAGTGTAAAATTTATTAATTTAGGGAGATAGAAAGCAGTGATTTTCTGCTTTGATCCAACACACTCGTAACAGAAATTTAGATGTATTTTATTTCCAAAGTGTAGATTTTTCTAGTGAAGAGATAATTATACTCAAAACATAGATTTGTTATCAAATTTACTTGAAATTACTTCTATATTTTTGATTTCATCCCATCAAATCTTTAGGGGTCATATTAATAAGACAGTAAAAATCTGTCATATTTAAATTATTGGAATAAAAATCAAAAGTGTGAGAAAGTCTATTTGAAATAAATTTCACAACAAATTAAATAATGAATTCTATTATTATTTATACCATAATTGATGCATAATGCAGATGATTGGAAATTAATTATTCCCGCGTATTCTCACTACAAAACATAACACCTCCAACTGGAGTGCTTTGGTTTTTGGTGACACCTGTATTCTGTGTAGTGAAGGAAATGTAATCTCGACAGTCGGACAGAAAAACACACTGAGCAGTTATTAGGATGCGAGAATTGTGTTTTCTTCCAGCAAAATATTTACTAGATTAAAAGACTAAATCTTAATTTAAGGGTGTGTGTTAGATAAAGACAGTTCACTGATTTCACTTTCTAATAACCTGAAAGACTAAAACATTACTTTAAATTTACAGCAATCTCTGATCTGATATTATCTTGCAATTTCTTTTGATCACTATCATATGAAGTTATGCTAACAGCAAGAGCTTTCAATTTTTCAAAATTTTTCAATAAGTCTTGATTTTCTACAATAATATAAATTATATAATAGAAGTACTAAATAAAATAACTTTATTAAACAGTTATAAACTTACCAATACTTTGTAAAGCATTTATTAATAAACCTTTAGAATCCAATTTAGAAAAATCTTCAAGCCTGTCTTGTGGTAAAAATTGACATAAGTTGTGCACTCTTATGTTAAAACTTTCAACAACTTCAGAGTACTAAATAAAAAATAAAAAAGACAATATTCATTAATTCCTACAATAGTACAATATATTTTAATAATCACTTTTTTTTTTGAGACTAAGATACTATTGACATAATAGTGACAAGCATCATTGCTGGCGAATATTGTTCTTCTTAAATTTACATTTTGGTTTGATCTCTTATAAAGTTCAATGGAGATATCGGCTACGGATTTGCCTAATTTTACAAACTGACTCACCTATAAATATAATAATTGACATATAATTATAAATACGATAGAATTCCCAATTTAAATAAGTGGTGTAATAATAATTTTTGTTTATTTTTTCATTTTATGATATTCTTTAATTTTTTATGGATTTTTGATGAAGTGCATATTTTAATATTTAGATAGAAATCATATACTCTGATAAATATTTTTCATGAGCTAGTCAAAAATGATTTGATTAAATTGTGAATATGCCATAAGTTGATTAAAACAAAAATATTTATGAATTATGATCAATTAGGTTGATTTAAATGACAGTGCAAATGAAAATTGTATCAACTAATTTATAATGAGTATTTTTATTAAAAATAATTTAATGAGACTAATAAGTGGCTGGTAGTTGGGAAAAATCCCCAGTAGCATTATACTAGAGATTGACAGACATGTTAAACTTAATAAAAATAAATAATTTATAAGAATTACAATAATTCTAATTATATGTAAGTGTTTTTTGATAAATTATATATTAAAAATAAAATTAATATTGTACAATATGTTAAAAATTGTCACATATGCCTAGGTGACATATGTCACGATACTGGGAATTATAATAATAATAATAATAATAATTTCATATAAATTAAAATGATATGTGCTATTATAATGTTACCAAGTCATTACAGCACACTTTCTGAAGTTAAGAGCATTTGCTTTGCTTTTAAGAAATATTCAACATTTATTTAATTATTTTGGATTCTTGAACATAGTGTATTAAATTAATTTCAACTTTCTAGTATTTTCTTAAAAAAGCCAAAAGTTTATTCATTAGGGATTTTTTCCACACTTCTAAGTGGCTACTATTGATTATATTTTATATTTTAATTATAATAGGTCCTAGAGGCCAGAGTGGTCAAACCTGCGAATCTTCTCTTTAGAAAACATATATTTAATTATTTTAAAGATATGAGGGTGATGAATTACAAAAAAAAAAACTAAGTTGTTGGGAGATGATGAGGTGGCAGTACTACAGAGGTGAGGGGGTATACATATTCTATAATAGTATGATAACTTGTGTATTATAATGTTTCTTATAGTGGCTGCTCGTGTATATGTGCACAAGTGCATGTGCACTACCTACCCAAACTCAAGAAAAATTTAAAACATAAATCATAATTATAAATTAAGTACCTGTAGTGTTATCAGATTATTTTTCAAAAATTTACATAAATTCAGAATATTATGAAAATAATATAACATTTCAAATATTTGGATTGGGTTTTGTTCGAAAGCCAAACAGCCGGGCGGTTATCCACAACGGAACGGTATCGGTATGTATTATAGTGGTGCAGTAGTGCACACAATCGCTGTGCACTTTCATACAGTGTAAAAATTAAAACAAATCAAAACACACAACCCGTGTTATAATGGAATATTGATGTGCACAGAACGAATGTACACATAACCAATTAACTTGTTTTCAGCAAATTATTTTTGACACCGGTATCATAATTTATTTTTATTCCCATTTATTTATTATATTATTCTTATTATGTTACTCAATCAGTATCAGAAATTCAAACCATATATGTATATATTTTGTATTATATTTTTTTTTTGGATATGCACTACTTCATTAAAAATCCACAAACCGCCACTGCAACTAAAAATATTTTTTTCTCTTGACGGCACCCCTGTTCATAAATGTGTAATTGTGTAATTTTGAGTAAAGTTTTCTATAAAATCTAGTATTGTTAAAACGGGAATTTTTACGCAAAATCAGTTTTCGACCAAATCRATTTTTTTATATKGTTGTAAWTCAAAAAATAATCACTTGAAATACTTGAAATTTTCACCAAATGTTTATGTTAGTGTTCTCTATATACAGTTTAATTTTCAAAAATTTTTGACTTTTTTTGAGTTATTTATAG